TCCGGGTCAATGTCGATGCGGAGGTAGGGGGCTCCCGCCAGGGCTTTGCTGCCATGCGGGCCCCGCCCAACCCGCCGTTCACTGAAGTGCCCTGCACTGTGGCTGCTCGCGTTCAGGCTGTACACACGACGTCCCCATTGCCTGGATGTCCCCGTGAGTTTGTGGTGCCTGAGCATGCCTTGTATGTCCACGGCAGTGCAGAGCTTGATGGGTTGCCCTGCCAGGTGTTAGAGGCTGGTGATAGGTACGTTCGGTTGCAAGGGACGGCGCTTCCTGATCAGGGTCAGCTTTCGCAATCTTACACTGCGTGTACGGCCCCAGAGCTGCACGCAGCCTTCCGGAGCTTTTGGGCACCCCTGTGGCAGCGGGACTTTGGTGCCGCCAGCAGTGACCTTTCTTCCTGGCCGGATTTCCAGGCAGTGCTTGCGCGCTCCACTTTGTCCCCTGATGCTGGCATCGACATACAGTGCTCACCGCAACAATGGCGTGATGCAATTAAACGCATGCCGGCCCGCAAGTCAACCGGGATATGTGGCTGGGCCCCTTCGGACCTCAAGTTGTTGTCTGATGAGGCCCTCTCTGTGCTAAGCGCAGTCTTCACGGCTGCAGTCCGCCATGGCCTGCCGCAGCATATCCTCCGTGCCCGCGTGTGTGTTCTGGCCAAAGTTCTGTGCCCGGACCACATTAAACAAAGCAGGCCGATCACTATCTTCAGCACACTCTATAGGGTCTGGGCGTCGATTGTGACACGCTCTTTGCTTCACAGCTGGAAGGACACTTTCCCGTCCGCCGTTGCTGGATCGATGCCGGGAAAGTCATGCCGAGAGGTGAGCCTCAAACAGCAGCACTTGATTGAGCTTTCGCTTATGGGTGCGGCCCCGCATGTCGGCTTCTCTTTGGACATTGTGAAGTGCTTTAACCAGCTAGGTTGGCCCCCGGTTCAGGTTTTAATGACCCGCCTTGGTGCACCCCAACAAGTGATTTCCTTTTGGCTGGACTGCCTGTGCAAACTTGAACGACATTCGAGCTTTCTTGGAGACCTTTCTGCAGGAATTCCTTGCAGCAACGGGGCCCCAGAAGGTGACCCGCTCAGTGTTGCAGCCCTTGCGGTTGTGTGCTGTTTCGCTGAGGAGGCTTGCCGTACCGACATGGTAGCCTTTGACACCTATGTCGATAACTGGGGCTGGTCCAGCAACAGCAGAGCTGCGATAGAGCTTGCAATTCCGAAGGCCACAGGTTATCTATCTGCACTCTCTCTCCCGGTTGACTGGGCCAAGTCCTACACGTGGGCCACCTCTGCCCAAGGCCGTAAATGGTGGCAAACGGCTCATAACAGGGTCTTCCCAGAGGGCACGAAAGTGCCACTTGTTAGCGAGGTCCGGGACCTTGGTGTGTCGTTCAAGTACGATGGCCGGCCACACGCCGCCTCCCGCTCAAGTCGGCTACAGGACGGACTGGAGCGACTCGATCGTCTCCGGCAGCAGCCTCGCAGCCCCTGCCTCAAGGCATCAATGGTCCAGCGAGGCGTCTGGACGGCGTGCCTGTACGGTGCTGAGGGCCACCTGTTTTCCCAGGCTGAGATTAGTCAACTCCGGGGGCGAGCCGCTCGAGCTATCGTCGGCCAGCACAAGGTCCTGTCTCCTTTTCTCGCGTTGTCTGCTCTGTCTGCTCACTGTCAGGATCCTGAGTTGTACTGCATAGAACAACAGTTGCAGCTGCTCCGCCGAACATGTTCTTGCGACCCAGACCTGGCTGCCTCGCTGCTGGAACTTGCTACGCAAGCACAGCCGCCCCGCTCTTACCAAGGGCCTGCGACAGCACTGCGGTTGGCGTTGGACCGCCTGGGCCTACAGTTAACCTCTGCCGGGGTGATCAAGGGTCGTGATAATACATGGGTTGATGTCACGAGCTGCCATAAGACTGAGATTCGACGACTGTTGCGACGTACATGGGCTCTTCATGTGCAAGAGCAGGTTGCCCACCGCAATGGGTTGGCCGCTGCCCCCCCGGTCCACACTGAAGAAACTGGACGCTTGCTACAACAGTTTAAGCTCAACGACCAGCTGGTGTTGGCTCGACATATCACAGGGGCTTTCTCCTCTGCTGCAGCCCGCCACAAATGGGACCCCTCTGAGACTCCGCAGTGTGCCCTGTGTGGCCAATTGCAAACCAAAGAGCACAAGTTCCTGCACTGCCCGGCCTTGGCTGGTGTGCGGGCTGACTTTACGGAAGTGCTGCAAGAAGTTGTTGCCACGAAATCCTATTGGATACATGCGCCGTTTGCGGCCGCTCCCCCAGACCTGGAAGTGAACAACTTGATTTTTGCCACACGAGCGCTCCCGTGTCCAACGACTGAGATAGGTACCTACGAGGAAATTGGATCACGGCCTTTTGTTCGGCTCTTCACGGATGGCTCTTGCCGTCACCCGACTGTTCCGGAGGCCTCTCTTGCTGCGTTTGCTGTTGTGTTGGACACAAGCACATGCGATGAGGCTATACCAGGTTTGCTGGCAAAGTGGCGCGAGACAGCTATGCCACCTACTGAGTTTCGAGTTGTGTGTCAAGGAAGCGTGCCTGGTCTGCAGAGCATCAACCGTGCTGAAGTGTGTGCGCTTATCCAGGCCATTAGGGTCGCACAACTGTTGTCGGCCCCTTCCGCTGAAATCTGGACGGATAGTGCATTTGCCATTAGGGAATGGGAGAGGGCATGCGCAGGACAGGACTGTACCTGGCCTGATCTGGGTGCGATGTTGGCCCGGCTCTGGCATTTCCCGGTGCGCCTCCGGAAAGTTGCGTCCCACCAGGACCTCAACAAGCTATGGGGCTTGGAGCAGTGGGTTGCAGCGGGAAATGAGGCCGCTGATGTGGCAGCGAAAGCCGCCGTTGGTCGGGAGATGCAGTGCGTTCGAGACATAGCAGATGCCGCCAACGACTTCTTGAAGGACCAGCGTCGACTCCTCAAACAGTTCTGGACTTACCTGGCACGACTCTCATTTGAGGAGGCCCGTCTCTTGCGGTCGTCTGGTACCGGGACGGAACAGACTGAAGATGAGCTGTTCCCTCGCGGCCCGCCGATCGACAAGTGGCTGGCTCTGAATACAGGGCTGCACCAAACGTGGAATGTCGGTATCGTCCAACGGGAGTGGCTACTGGCCTGCAGCTGGCCCCCGTGGTTTACAGTGCCACTATGGGAATGGCTGCGCACGCTTGAGTGGGCGGTCCACATGCCCACGGGACGGGCTCCTTGCGGTGTTGCCTACGTTGAGCTGCTGGTTGCTTTTGTGTGTACAACAGGAATTTGTCCGCCTGCCGGACTGGATGTCGAAAAGTCGCATGAAGCAGTGCTCACTGACAACTTACAGATACCGACGACATTGCGTCAGCTGAACCACAGTCTTGTCGAGGCTGTGCGACAGTTGGAGCGATTGTCACATGTGGCCTTGTGGCCCCCACGGAGGGGTAAAGTTTTCTCTTTACGGGCTTTGAACTGCCGAGAACCACGCATTGGTCTTACGCTACGGCCCTTCTTTCGGGATCCCGACCAGGTTGCGGAGATACTGTGCCAGGTCATTCAGACGTCGAGTGTTGCCCCGTTACGGAAAGTTGCCTTGAGCTGCGGGAATAGACCGTTCGCTCCGGATGAAGCTCTACAGCGAGCTTGGAATTGTGTTAATGCTAGTCAACGCGCCAACATGGCGCGGAGTCTGCGAAGGTGCAGATGAGGTGAGCCGCTTGGATGCACATGGAGGCGTGGAGTCGCAACTGCAGGCCCACGTCCTCCCTTCTGCCCGGTGAAAGGTTGAGGGTTTAACCGAGGGTTGAGGGTTTAGGGTTTAGTGCAAGTAAGTTTTGAAGACTGGGGGATTTCGGGTTTAGTGTTGCGGGCTTGGGGTTTAGGGTTTTGGGTTTAGAACTCAGAACATCAGTGCCTCTGTATACCGGCGGAGCTTTTGATCCAGTCCTGCAAACTCCTGCCAGGCCGATAGTGAACTGTAGAAGCTGGCGACCAGCGGTATCCAGGAGCTTTGCCGAAAATAGCTCAGAACCGAAGAACAAAGCGAGCAGAGGACGATGCAAAACTGGAGGAACTTCCGTCTTCTCGCGACCCATGGTATCCTGGACTGGTAGAAGTCAACAGCCGGCTGGAGCCTGACCAAAACATACTTTGCCGGCGGAACCGGAGAATAAAAGTCATCTGAATCTGCACTGTCCGCACTGCTATCGCAATCCGCGTGATGTATACGAAGGTGTTTGTATATGGACTCTGGATGAGCTTTCTCCATAGTGCTCTCAAGCAGGTTGGTGCCATCTGCAAGATCGCTTTTCCACTGATGCAGTCGCTGACACAAGTTCTGCTGAGGTTTTAGCCCACCGCTGCCCATCCCGAAGGCTTTTGTGCGAGTTCTATAGTGCCAGATTGTTGTGAGGAGAAAAGCCGATTTGCTTCGAAGCACTCGCCATCGCTGAGTTGGGTTCATCAGAGTAGAAAAGGTAGTCGCTGCTCCTGCCATCAGAGTTACGAAGAAGACTAGCATCTGCTCGTCAAAGTCATCGAAGGAACTGAACCAATCCTCTGGAAGTACCGAGATTGTGACAGCAGTCGCACTAAGCAGCAACAGGCAAACATAGGTTGTCTTGCTATAGGCTTTGTACACTTCAGCCAAATAGTTCTTGGCATCATACTCACACCAGGCTTCCTCCAGAAGATCTATCGCCTCAGGATCCTCCTGCTTGGGCAACCGATCAAGCCGTACCAGCTCTCGGATCAGTCGCTTGCTTGCATCGAGGTCCCAGGAATTCGCGACATGCAGATGCTGGTGTTTCAGCATTGCCGACATCTGAAGCGCGCGTTTTTGCTTCGCGGCCAAGATCTCGGATGTGCTTTCGGGCCGTGCCAGTATCGTCTGGCGTCCTTCTGTGAACACGCTGCTGAACCAGTGGAGCACCTCCGCAAGTTGTCTGCGCAGGTCAGCTCTACGTCGCTCAGTGGATATGCTTGCCTACACCGCCGTTTGTCTACACTTCCGGGCTGTCTGCGGCTGCTCAACCGCCTGCTGCGAAAGGGCCTTGTCAGAGTTTTCCAGTGCTTGCACAATGAGACAAATCACGTTGCAATCCAGATAGTCCCATTGATCGTGAATCTCGTGTAAGAACTCCTCGTAGGATTCCTGCAAGTTTGACAGCTGCAGACCTGACGGCCATGGACGGAGGTTTACCAGAATGGTGGGGCAACCGCCTTCAAGGCATGCAACTATATTCCCAAGCGAAGCTTCATCGCTATCTTCAAGAGTTGAGTGACCAGCTTTGACAGCAATGCACGGCACCTGCTCCATTAAGTGATTGAGGAGGGAGTCGTTGAAAGCTGCAAATGGAGTGAAATCCATGGTCCCGTCGAACTCGTTGATGCCATCGCATAGAATGTAATGAGCAAAGTCGTCAAGCAAGTCATACGCGATTCTGGGTCCAGCATACTCCTTGTTGAAGAACTGATTCAGGCTAGCCCGATGTCTCCGTCTCCAGCCGCAAACAGCCCTCTGAAACTCACGCCATTTTGCAGAAGGGTCATCGTTGCTGTACAGTCTGCGAAAATCTGCTGTCAAGGCTATAACACAGAAAGGAAGTTGCTTGCCAAATCGGTTGCGGTGAAGTTTCAAGGCTTGTCCAAGGGCAGATGTCAACATACAGCTTCCCAGTGTCGCTTGTACAAGGATTAACGCGCTTGTCTCCGCAGCAAGTGGAAGCAACACTTCTTCCATGAAGTGGTACAACCCTTGCTCGGCTTGCAGAGCTTCCTCCTCGCCGCCTGGAAACGGAGACTGCAGGGGTATGCCTGCATCGGTCCGAGTCTTGGTCCAGTCAACACCTCCCATTGATTGTATGAACCTGATCACCAGCTTCGGTGTTGGTATTTCAAAGGCTTCCAGAACACGCTTTATGGAACCCGGCGTGTTGGCCAACAGCCGAGCTTGCTTGTTGGTCAGGTAGAGGACTTTGTGCCGAGAGCCCGAGCCCAAAGATATGTTCTCCACCATACGGTACATGGTCTTGGCCTTAATCTCTTGCAGGTCCGCCTCTGTCTCTGCATCCGATACCTCTGACTGCATGGCATCCACTTCCCACTGCACCTGCTTCAGTTCATCGTGGTTGCCCTCATGCCCACCGCTGGCTTCAGAATCGGACTCCAAAAATGTCTTCGTCGATGCAGCTTCGCCTGCTCAGGGCTGGAAAAGCCGCGTGAATGCTTTCCGAGAGCACTCCGTTCCACAACACCCCGTGCTCATACCTATCTGACTCTTGCTTTACATTTATGTCCGTTTCAAGCCTTTCGGGTCTGAAATCATCTGGGTTTGCTGTTGGCGATATACCGGGCTGGTACAAAGCCTACCGGCCAAAGCTTTGCATATGCTTTGCAGTTGTCTGGCTGGAGGTAGGGAAGGCTCGAGTCGAACTTTGAAGCTTCCGCTTTGAGGGTTGCTACGGCCCACTAGCTGCAGTGCGCGGACACGCGTTCTCGCTGTGCAGCATTTCCTGACGGTGGTTTAGTCTCACTAGTCTGAGTGCTGATTCCCTAAACTCGGCGCTTGAGGTGTCCGGTTTTAAGTTGGGAGGCTCCTGGAAAACCGGGGGCGCTGGGTTTTGGATCCAAGCTCCAGTGCTTGGAAACATAGGGCTTGGGCTTTAGGGTTCAGGCTTGTGGATTCACGGGGCAGGGCTTAGAGTTTATCATGGGGTAAGGTGTAATCTGCGTAGTCCCAGCCCTGCAAGACTGCGGGCGATCCATTCGGAACTTCCTCATGTGTGAGAGCTTATTATTTCAGAGCCCGGGACTGGCCGCTAAAGTCAGTAACGCATGTGTCAGTGCAGAATTTGTTCTGCAAACCCTGCCTTGGCTTTCATGTTGCACAGTCGCCGCGTCTTTGGCCTAGCCAGCAGCGACAGGGATGAAGCTGCAAGCATTACCATCGCAGTCAGAGTCGTGGCAGTGTCAGCAGCAGCCAGCAATGGTCATCAGTAACAACAAAGAACAGGTTCAATCAAAATGCTGCCGCTGATGCTCCTCACAAAAAGTGCAAAGTCACAAGCAGAGCAACAAGAAGGACCTTGACCGTCTGCTGAGTAATATGCTGCTCTTGATCACGTCACATGACGATGGCATAGGATGACTGCACTGCAAGAACGAGGCGGCGACATGCGGTGACGACCCGATGATGGTGGAAACCTAAATTATTAATGGTCTTGATTGCTTGTCGGTCTCATGCCGTGCAGGGGGCAGCGCTCAGCTGAAAGATTCACTGCACTACTGCAATTTCGGGATGATGCTTCGGGTCTAGGGTCCCTCCGATGTCTACGTGTGCTCAACATGCTTGAAACTTACAAGCCTGTGACAAGAGTATCCTTCCGTCATTGCAATCTTTGGTTCCACTATTCTGGCGACGGCAGTTGTCAAAGTGTCGCTGCGCACGGACAGCCCCCGAAGTCAACATAACAACGATAACGATATCAGAAGGTTGACAAAACGAGGCCACCGGCAACATGCAACAGGGTAATGCAAGTTACAACACTGATGACATTGTGCGTTGCTTGCTGGCGCTTTTAACCCAGCAACTTCGAGACATGTTTCGTTGAGGTTTTGGCTCCGACCGAACCTGCGCTATGAGTTCAGTTTTGCGACACTTCCTGTCATCATGGTGGTGTGAAAGAAGGCCGTACAAAGCAATGTTCGTTGGTTGAGGATCATGGATCGGCAAACGGTCGCAGCCGAACTCTTCTTCGCAACATGGCAGCTGCCGATTCTCCCTTCCGACCCCGACTTTATCCCAAAGAAGCCCGCAGCTGCAGCATGTTGCTGAGAGTCGGGCTGCGAAGGTGGCAAGGCCCCTCCATTTTCGTACCATGGCTTCTTGCCCGGAGCTTCGAACACTCTGTGAATACTACTACCATTACTATTTCTGTTACAATTACTACAATTGGACACCCTACAGGACTCTGCATTGAAACAGGGACAAAGGCAACCTGCCCGCCAGCCCAAACTGCAGCGGTTGATGGATTCTGGGTGCCGCACATGAACAGGTATTTCTATGCCGTGCGTGTTTTGCAAGGATTTGCTTGGCCTGTATGATGAACGGGCATTCTGGGACATTTACGCCGTCAGCTCTGTGAGTGACCAATCTCCAATCCAACTTCAAGGGCCAAGAAATTGATCTCGCAAGTTGCGCTGTGTAGGGCCGTAGCTTGATGCTTCCCGAATAAGTGAGACAGGCTCGACCGGAGGGATTAGAACACATTCCCTAGTCCCGCAAGTTGCTGGAGGAACCCTATACCGTGAACCCGAAACCATGTACCTATCGAAGCAGGGCCGACTGCCACAAGCTCCCTCTGCAGAACCACACCGGACACCGGAGGTTCCGCTCTGAGCTTCCCCGAGCAGAGGCCTCAAAGTGCCGGCGAAGCCTGGGGCGAGGAGTAGGCCAGCAGAGCTGCTCATGCCCCCCGGAGGATCTAGAAAGTAGATCCCCCAATCTGGGGCCCTATACTACTAAGGGTACTTCATAGGAACCCCCATTACAGGATCCACTTTTGGGGTCCTCCCCGGGGTCTGGGTGACAGTTCACGCAGGGTCATCGCAAGCAGTGCGCCCGAGGCTCGTGCCATTTTTGGCCCTGGTCTGGTCGACGTCTGTGGCACCTGACAGACTGCCAATGGGCCAAGGAGCGGGAAACAGAGATGCATGACACGTCTTAGCTGCTGTAGTGAGCGACCGAGGAGGGAATTCCATCGTCATGCTTTGGCTCAGTCCAGTGTCTGTCTACAGCAGTCCGCACCTCTTCTCGAAAAAGATTGGTCAACAGGGATAGAGAGATCGAGAAGGCGAAGGAAGGAAGATGAGAAAGAGAACGAGAATGGCATGCAGCTGCGGGAAGCAACAGATAAGTTTGAGCTATCTACGCAGACGGGAGTGGCTTGCTCAAGTGAGAAAGGAACCGCCGATGCCAACGCTCTCTGCAAGAAAGTATGAGCCTCGGCTGGGTGAAGAAAAGGGTATGAGAGAGAGAACGAATGAAGGGATGGAGGCGTAAGAGGGCTGTGTTTTATCGCAACTTAACTGGCTCCCGCCCTGACTGCGTCTGCGACGAGCCTTGGAAAAATGACTGCAGCTCATGAAGATGCCACCAAACATGGCGAGAAAAAGGAGAGATGAAAAAAGGAAGGGACTTGAAAGGCAGAAGCGGTGAGCGGTCGGGGACAGAGCAGGGTAGCCAGAAAGACACTGACAGAGCGAGCTATTGCGAGTGACAAGGATGCAGGGAAGGAGTTAGATCGAGATATCAAAAGGGTGGTAGATACTGACAAGCACAACAGCAAGGGACGTGAAGAGGATTCGAAACGCAGCATGTGAGGGAATCGTTGGACACAACCCTGACAAGGAGCAAACCAGAATGTGATTGGAAAAAGAGGACGAGGGCGAAAGCGAAGTGAAAGGGCACATTCCCTGTCACCTTCCTCATCAGTCCTGTTCCTCCTGGCAGACGCAAGCGAAGGGGAGAGATAAAAGGAGACCGAAGAGGGAAGTGGAGCCGATAGTCAGAGGCTTGAGGTGGAGGGATGCAGCAACACCCGGGGAAGGTAAACGAAGAACGGAACAGGCTTCTCAGAGAGTCGACAAGTTCCTATCAAGAGCTCCTGGTCGTCCTAACAAGGGGTTTTTCTATGCGCTGAAACCACAAACCGGGCCGGCGAGGAGGAGCGGCAGGAGGAACACCATGAGGCGGGGGCGGGGGGGGGGTATATAAGGCCAGGGTAGAGGGGCTCTTTGCAAGGACTCGTCGTTGGTCGAAGGGTATTGAGGTAAAGGGGCCTTGAGGCTTTGGGCTTCAGGGTGTCGGAGTTTTGGGCCTTGCGACTTGTGTTCGGGCTTCGGGTTTTCTGCTTCGCATGTTCGGATCGAGAGCTACGCAACGGTTACACCCCCGAAGCCATCGTGTCCCTGACCAGCTATCGAATCCCATTCGAATCACAATGACAGGGGCAGGCCATGGCAAGTTCGTAGATCATTTCGTGGGACATGCCACGGTATACCATAGCGACAGGGGGTTAATTCTCGGGCTCTTTGTGAGCAAGATCTCTGATAGTAAGATTGCCATGCAAACAACAAGAACAGAAACAACGGCAACACTAAACAGAATGCCAGCGACTACGTCAAACTAGCAAAAGCATTGGTGATGACTGGAACAATTAAGACGGATGCCGAATCCGCTGCTTTGCCGCTTCACTGGCGGATGCACTCGTCTGCAGCAGCTGTAGCGGCTCTGCAGGCACACCGCCAGCACCACACATGACGAAGAAGGCCATGCAGATTGCGAAGAACATGAGCTTGCCCTGAAGAATCCTGAAGATCCCATGCGGAAGTCGCTAGGAATTGCCAACCTTCCATGGTTCCCACATGCATGATGGCTTTATCGCCGCACACAAGATCCTCCTGAATTCCTCTAGCCCAAATGCCCACCGGGATGGCATAGCGGAAAACACACAGGAGTTGAGCATGGCGTGCGTCCCGACTGCGCTGCTTCGTTTTCTGCTTCACCAGATCCTGCAGTCGATTGCAGACTTCGCTGGCTCAAGGAAGCTTTACACACACCACGTACATATTCTAAATGCGCTAACTTGGCACGGGATTTCCTCGACTCCTCCAGAGTCCTTGGGCTGTACAAGGAATCAAAATTGCTTGGACGAGTCTCCCTTAGAGAGAACACGGTCCTGGCCAGAAGTAAGATTGTCGTGCATTTGGCGTGCGGCACGCGCCACGACACCCTGCCTAGACTCTCAGAACAGGTCTGAGGGGTCTGGCCTGTACACATTCTGTACATGGATACGAGGCGAGATTGCCTGGATGGGTCTCCCTTGCTAGGAGAACCGAATCCTGGCCAGAAGTGCGAGGTTCGCGTCCTGATCTTAGGACTTCCTGCAGAGCCGCCGCCTCACGAAACTTGAAAGGAACTGCGGGGCGATGAGAATGTAGTGCCCGACCGGACCCACGGTGGACATGAACGCTAGGCAAAGGACGACGATGGCCAAAGGCAGGAGGAGACCTGTCAGATCCCAGCTCAGCATGGGAATCATCATCTGGATGACTTCCGTCATGCGATCTCTGAAGAGGAAGTGGATCACGTAGCAGCCGAGCGTGCTGTTGCCCCAGAAGCTGGCCTTCCGGGTCACAGTCAAGAAGATGCAAAGCTCCGGCTAGGACTCTTGATTCCGACTGAAAATGGCCTGAAGCCCGCCCAAAGCCGGACAGAAATCAAGACGGGGCAAAGAAACGCAGCACTCGAGCCCACTCTGCATGCTCTCCCAAAGCTAGCCTTGACGGGCCAGTACACCGTGCCGAGCGCGAAGAGCGCCGGCTGAAGAGTGGTGACCGCCACCTCCAAGATCGGCGTCAGCCAGAAGCCCTTCTCGCCGCTCTCCAGGAGCTGGTTGGGGTAGTGGAAGAGAGCCATCAGCAGACCTCCGCAACTGACAAGCTTCGGGATCGCTGCTTGATTCCTACGACAATTTTTTTTCTCCTCCGACACGTCACTACGGTGGAACGTCTTTATGCATGCTCTCACCACAACGGCAGTCACAAGCGCCAAAAGCCCTACTATCATATCACCACAAATCATTTGGAGCTTGCATGCCGAGAGGCCAAGCAGCATGCTGGAGGCAGTGGCAGATGCCGACCAAACAGGCCCGTTTGGCAGCCTCCCAGTGAAAAACTTCACGATGCTTCGAAGGTAGTGAAAGCAGAACCTCAAATTGCAGTCTTCATTGCTCGTGTGGAATTCCTTGTGACTGGACTTGTGTGGCTCAAGTGCAGAACAGCGACACGTAGAAGGCACCGTAACACGCGACCCATCGAATCCATGCAAAGCAGCCGCCCAGCAGCCAGTACACAGCAAAGCTGGGCACTCCTGCTTGGCACGCATTGCCGGCATTCACTGGACCAAAGAAGCTGCCAAGCGCAGCCACCAGCACCTGCACGACATTCTGCAACATGTGATGTAGCTCTGCTAGCGGCCTAGCCCCCCCCCCCCCCCTCAACTTTCACGTCTTCAAAGCATCGTGGAGAACCTGCCTGGAGGAATGGCGGCAGGCAAAGGCTGTCGCAGATCACGAGGTAGAGCTTGGCGCACAAGATCATCTGAAGATACCACCGATGTCCCGCTGTGGCATCAGAGTTTTGCATGTAGACCTGGTCCCATCCGTTGGTGCCCTGTGTGACGTTGAAGGTCTGCCAGGTCCTGTTTTAGAAGCACTCGAAAGCACGGCGGGAAGCGTAAATAAATAAACACTTAGTGCCCGGGGCTCCTGTCCGGATACGCCCAACCTCCCGTGATGCCCCGAAAGATCTGCGGAAGCGGCATGGCCATGAAAAGGTACACGGCGAACACGAAGAGGTCCGGCCAGCCCAGCCGCGCCCGCTTGCGCGCCTCGGGGCCGTGAGTCCTGGTAGGCGCCCAGCATGATGAAGCCAAAGAGGTCCTGCGCTCTGCACTCCCTCACTCAGACTCATCTCACTCGCACTTCAAGCACAACATGGAAGAAACGACACCGCAAGAGCGCTTCCCGCTCGCCTGGTCGTTGCCGAGGGAGCGCACGAGAGCCTCCGCCCACGGAGCGACGTTCCAGGAGGCCAAGGCAGTGCAGAAGGGCATGGGACCGCATCCCAGTGGGGTCCTGCCATTGTGTCTTCGTGCACATGGATGATCACGCATGCGACGCGTGCAGGCTTGGCAGTAGTATAACAATACTCAGATGACGTGTCGAGATGTCGTGCTGCTGGCCTTGGGGTCCGTGCTCATGGCACACCAGGCGTAGTGATCCGTGAGGACGCCCAGCATCCAGAAGGCGTAGCAGCGGTGGATCACTGCATTCTCGAGGATGGCCGCTCGGGACATGGACTTCATCTGCCCAAGCGAGTCCATGACGGTCTCCTGTGCCTGGGAGGCTTCCTTGTCGGCCATCTCCTTCAAGGACTTGTAGTTCACCTTGCCGTTTGGAAGCACCGGCAAACCTGGCCGAAGCTTTGTTGCATCGTGTCGCGTTTGTCTGCAAAGTATTTAGACTCCGAGCATGGGTTCCGAGCCTGCGTCGAGGACGACGATGAGCTTGGGCAGGTAGGCGGGCATGAGCTCCTTGCGGCAGTGCTCCATGAGCTCGTGCGCGCGGATCGTCGCCTGGCTAAAGCGGCTTAGCTTGAAGCTGCAAAGGCACACACTCCGAGAGCAGCTACTGTAGTCCGGCCTCCTTCCGCGGCTCCACGAAGGCCACGAGTTGCGGCGGATCTGCGCAGCACACGGCCGCCTTCGCGACGGGCAGTAGGCAGCCCATCTCAGCGTCCTCACAGACATCTCACGAGGATAGCTCACCTTCTGGTCGAAAAACCTTGCATGCAGTTAGCCGCTCCTCCTGCTGCGTCTCGTGTGGCTCAAACTTCATCAGCACGGCCTCTCTGCCAACCCGCCAGACACGCCAAGCTCGGCTCTAGACTATCTACGTGTATGTCTGAATTCCGCTCGCGGCTCTCTTCGTTCCGACAGGGGGAGGGGCACGAGGAAGGGGGCCAACTGCGCCTCGATCTCGCCGGGCTCCACGCGCACGCCGTTGACCTTCAGCTGCCGGTCCAGGCGCCCGACCACCTCCAAAGCTCCCTCCCGGAAGCGGCCCAAGTCACCGGTGCGGTAGATTCGCCCGAAGTCCTCCTGACCGCATGGGCTGACCCTACCAGAATTGCTGCGAGGTATACCACAACATGAACAGGCATCAGGCGCGAAGTCTGTCCGTTGGCATGAACTTCGCGGCCGTGAGTTCCGGCCGCTGCCAGTAGCGCGCAGCCAGCACGCCTCCGAAGCAGATCTCGCCAGCTTCCCCTGGAGGCATCAGCTCGAAGCTGCCCTCGGCCATAATGAACCTCAGCTCTCGCTTCAGAATGAAATCGAGCAACCCTACGGAGACAAGAAACGAGCGAGGCCTCTGCCTCTGCATTCTCTGTCAATGCAAAGGAGCACGCTGACGTGAGGCTGCGGAGTGCCGGCGGGAACGTACCGCGGGTACAGAGCCGTGTCCACACCGTGCTCGGGCACCGTGTAGACGGTGCCTGCAATGAGCGAATTGTTCAAGCTACTCAACCTACGTACGCACTCCAAACACTGCAGCAGCTGTTTGCACATGTGAGTTATTTCTCCGAATGTAACTTAGCTCATCGAATGCTCAATCCCATGCAACCTGCAAAAGAAAGCTCTCTGCGGCCAAGCTGCATGAGCTCTCGGATGCACCAGGTTCGTCAGCATCAGGTAGGGCCCTTCGGCCTCCTCCCCGTTTTCCATGGAGGACGCTGATTTTGCACATGTGCTGCACCGAAGGAAGAGGCTCCTGCATCTCTAAGCACTTCAAGGCCTTGCTTAGAAGGCCCCCCCGGCTGCGGCAGCCGGTGCTGCCTCCGCATGTGAGCGCGATGTCGCGGTGGGAGATGGCGTAGCAGCGGTGGAGCACTCTAAGGGTTCAGATGCCTTCGTCTTGCCCGGAGATGCGAACCAGAGCCCGGTGGAGAGCCATCCTGTCCCAGGCATTCGGAGACGAGATCTGCTCTCTGAATGTGGCTAGTATCGCTCAAACCAAGCTCGCCGATGGTCTGTAGACGGTCATGCAGCCAGGCATGGGATGAGGATTCGTGTCCCCTTGCCCACCAAGTACAGGACCTACAGTTCTGATGTTCAAAAGTATCCCCACAGTAGAAGTTCCGCAGGGTCACCGACAGCCCACGGTGGCCTTGGCAAAGAGGGGAGGAACCGCCGGGACTGCCTCGCAAAACCTCACGGAAAATTCACTCGAAATCGTCCCGGCAAGCTGCCTGCGACACGGTTGGCCAGCTGCGAAGTCAAAGGCTCACCCACGGTCGTGATGACACGAAGGCCCCTCAAAGACCCCTGCACACAGCGGGCGTGCGTGAAGGAACTGAAGAAGAGGCTCGCACCCCTCAGGTTAGACATGCTAAACCTCAGGCGCATCGAACTAAATCTGAGTACCGGCCTGCGCAACGTCCAGGAGCAGGTCCAAAACGGAAGGTGTGATCATGAGCACGTCCACGTGGAACTTCTCAATTGTCTGGGCCATGTACTGCGGGCTCTTGTGGCCATCGGCGCTAGCGACAACGAGCTTGCCACCCCTGATCAAGGCTGGGAAGACCTCCCACTCCATGACTGCCCAGAAGTACGGAGACTTGAAGAGCTGGACAGAGCTCTCCGACATCCCGTGCTCCTCTGCCCAGAACCACGCGCCGTGCAAGAGATGCTGGTGGTCGTAGACGATGCCCTTGGGCTCTCCGGTGGATCCGGACGTATAGATCAGCATGGCCACGTCGCCCGTGTCGCCCGTGCCAGCGCCGCTCTGCACAGCTGGTCGCTGGGCTTCGGTGACGGTGAAGTTTCCGAAGGAGGAGATCGCCACCCAGTGGAGCCCGAGATCTTCGGCAATTTGCTTGCACTCCTTCACGCGGCAACCCGCTACTACAAGAACAGGGAAATCAAATCGGCCATCCTACCACAAGGCTTCATGAAGGCCCGCGCCTGGGAGTTGGCGTCGGAGATCAACACCGTGGCGCGGCTGTCCTCCAGAACGAGCCTCTTTCTTGCCTGGCGCGATCTCTCAGCCCGCGGCATCACTTGAAAGGACACAACCCACCGATCCCTGCATCATGCATGTTCATGCCTAACTACCTATCTAATCCTATCTACCCAGCTTTCTCGCGCTCACGCCTCTGGCCCCGTGTCGTCCATGGGCAGGTAGCCGGCACCCGCCAGCAAGGCGCCGAGGATCGACACCACCTGCGCGCTGCTTCGCGGCAAAGATAAAGCCACGATCTCGCCATGGGCGCCTCGCAGGGTGATGACTCTCATGCTGCAGACTGCCCCCTTGCTGCTTGACTGTCGGGGGCGGGCCTAGCTGTTCGAGCACCACGGCCAACTGCCGGACGGCTTCTGCCAGCTCCTCGCCGAGCGGGCACGCTGATTCTGCTGGAGGCTCTCGCGATCTGTCGCGAGCCGTGCGATTGCGGAAAACCCAGGCATCTGCGCACGCCGAACAACCGAGCAACCCGACTCCTGGTAGGTGATCACAGTCTTTGCCTCGTGGGGCAACACCAGGGCCGTCGCCGTCGGTGTCAGCTTCGCCTGCTCCAGGAAGAGCTCGTGGACCTGCACATTCGCAAACAATCTTCGCAACTTGTGACCCGAAAGAAAGACCCAGAAGAAAACATGCGCTGCTTTTGTCGAGCCTTGTGTTCTGGGAAGGGCGGCATCTCGCCAAAGGCTTCCGACATCTTCGACACATCCCCGAATCCGTTGCTCTGCCGCTTCACTGGCGAACGCACTCGTCTGCGGCAGCTGCAGCGGCTGCGCAGCCGCGTGTAGAGGAACACCGCCAGCACCACGCATGACCAGAAGCCCGTGTAGAGTGCGAAGAACAGGACCTTACCCTGAAGATCCCATGCTTCGCTCGGGTCGCGAAAGTCGCTTGGGAACGGCCAACCTTCCATGACTCCAGCGTTCATAGTGGCTCCATCGCCACACACAAAATCCTCCCAATTTCCTAGCCCTGCAAGCTGAAATGCCCACCGGGATGACATAGCTGCAAATGTTCAATGTTCCGAAGACCGACGGGTGCCTGCGTTCATGAGCATGGCGTGCATTCCGACTGCGTTGTGTCTTTTTCTGCTTCGCCAGACCCTGCAGTCGATGGCAGGCTTCGCTGGCTCAAGGCAGCTTTACAAGCACCAAGTCTAAATTCAACATGCGTGTGCTAACTTGGCACGGGATTTCCTCGACTCCTCCAGAGTCCTTGGGCTGTACAGGGCATCAAAATTGCTTGGACGAGTCTCCCTTAGAGAGAACACGGTCCTGGCCAGAAGTAAGGTTGTCGTGCATTTGGCGTGCGGCACGCGCAACGACACGCTGCCTAGACTCTCAGAACAGGTCTGAGGGGTCTGGCCTGTACACGTTCTGTACATGGATACGAGGCGGCATTCAGAAGCAGGTCATGGGAATGCCTGGATGGGTCTCCCTTGCTAGGAGAACCGCATCCTGGCCAGAAGTGCGCGGTTCGCGTCCTGATCTTAGGACTTCCTGCAGAGCCGCCGCCTCACGAAACTTGCAAGGAATTGCGGGGCGATGAGAATGTAGTGCCCGACCGGACCCACGGTGGACATGAACGCTAGGCACAGGACGACGATCGCCAAAGGCAGGAGGAGACCTGTCAGATCCCAGCTAAGCATGGGGATCATCATCTGGATGACTTCCGTCATGCGATCTCTGAAGAGGAAGTGGATCACGTAGCAGCCGAGTGTGCTGTTGCCCCAGAAGCTGGCCTTTCGGGTCACAGTCAAGAAGATGCAAAGCTCCGGCTAGGACTCTTGCTTCCGACTGAAAATGGCCTGAAGCCAGCCCAAAGCCGGACAGAAATCAAGACGGGGCAAAGAAACGCAGCACTCGAGCCCACTCTGCATGCTCTCCCAAAGCTAGCCTTGACGGGCCAGTACACCGTGCCGAGCGCGAAGAGCACCGGCTGAAGCGTGGTGACCGCCACCTCCAAGATCGGCGTCAGCCAGAAGCCCTTCTCGCCGCTCTCCAGGAGCTGGTTGGGGTAGTGGAAGAGAGCCATCAGCAGACCTCGGCAACTGACAAGCTTCGGGATCGCTGCTTGATTCCTACGACATATTTTCTCTCCTCCGACACGTCACTAACACGACTAAAGCCCACCAACACGGTGGAGCGTCTTCATGCATGCTCTCACCACAACTGCAGTCACAAGCACCAAAAGCCCTACTATCATATCCCCACAAATCATTTGGAGCTTGCATGCCGAGAGGCCAAGCAGCATGCTGGAGGCAGTGGCAGATGCCGACCACACAGGCCCGTTTGGCAGCCTCCCAGTGAAAAACTTCACGATGCTTCGAAGGTAGTGAAAGCAGAACCTCAAATTGCAGTCTTCATCGCTCGTGTGGAATTCCTTGTGACTGGTGTGGCTCAAGTGCAGAACAGCGACACATAGAAGGCACCATAACACGCGACCCAGCGAATCCATGCAAAGCAGCCGCCCAGCAGCCAGTACACAGCAAAGCTGGGCACTCCTGCTTGGCACGCATTGCCGGCATTCACTGGACCAAAGAAGCTGCCAAGCGCAGCAACCAGCACCTGCACGACATTCTGCAACGTGTGATGTAGCTCTGCTAGCGGCCTAGCCCCCCCCCTCAACTTTCACGTCTTCAAAGCATCGTGGAGAACCTGCCTGGAGGAATGGCGGCAGGCAAAGGCTGTCGCAGATCACGAGGTAGAGCTTGGCGCACAAGATCATCTGAAGATACCACCGATGTCCCGCTGTGGCATCAGAGTTTTGCATGTAGACCTGGTCCCATCCGTTGGTGCCCTGTGTGACGTTGAAGGTCTGCCAGGTCCTGTTTTAGAAGCACTCGAAAGCACGGCGGGAGGCGTAAATGAATAAACACTTAGCGCCCGGGGCTCCTGTCCGGATACGCCCAACCTCCCGTGATGCCCCGAAAGATCTGCGGAAGCGGCATGGCCATGAACAGGTACACGGCGAAAACGAAGAGGTCCGGCCAGCCCAGCCGTGCCCGCTTGCGCGCCTCGCCGCCCTGGGGCCGTGAGTCCTGGTAGGCGCCCAGCATGATGAAGCCAAAGAGGTCCTGCGCTCTGCATTCCCTCACTCGTCTCACTCGCACTTCAAGCACAACATGGAAGAAACGACACCGCAAGAGCGCTCCCCGCTCGCCTGGTCGTTGCCGAGGGAGCGCACGAGAGCCTCCGCCCACGGGGCGACGTTCCAGGAGGCCAAGGCAGTGCAGAAGGGCAGGGACCGCATCCCAGTGGGGTCCTGCCATTGTGTCTTCGCGCACATGGACGATCACGCATGCGACGTGTGCAGGCTTACCAGTATGCATTAAAACTCAGATGACGTGTCGAGATGTCGTGCTGCTGGCCTTGGGGTCCGTGCTCATGGCACACCAGGCGTAGTGATCCGTGAGGACGCCCAGCATCCAGAAGGCGTAGCAGCGGTGGATCACCGCGTTCTCGAGGATGGCCGCTCGGGACATGGACTTCATCTGCCCAAGCGAGTCCATGACGGTCTCCTGTGCCTGGGAGGCTTCCTTGTCGGCCATCTCCTTCAAGGACTTGTAGTTCACCTTGCCGTTTGGAAGCACCGGCAAACCTGGCCGAAGCTTTGTTGCATCGTGTCGCTTTTGTCTGCAAAGTACTAAGACTCCGAGCATGGGTTCCGAGCCTGCGTCGAGGACGACAACGAGCTTGGGCAGGTAGGCGGGCATGAGCTCCTTGCGGCAGTGCTCCATAAGCTCATTCGCGCGGATCGTCGCCTGGCTAAAGCGGCTTAGCTTGCTGCAAAGGCACACACTCCGAGAGCAGCTTGTCCGGCCTCCTTCCGCGGCTCCACGAAGGCCACGAGTTGCGGCGGATCTGCACAGCACACGGCCGCCTTCGCGACGGGCAGCAGGCAGCCCATCTCAGCGTCCTCACAAAAATCTCACAGAAATCTCACCTCACCTTCCGGTCAAAAAGCCTTGCATGCAGTTGGCCGCTCCTCCTGCTGCGTCTCCTGTGGCTCAAACTTCATCAGCACGGCCTCTCTGCAAACCCGCCAGACACGCCAAGTTCGGCTCTAGACTATCTATGTAGAATCTATGGATTATCTAGTCTATGCCTGAATTCTATAGGGGGAGGACTCTAGACTATCTACGTGTATGTCTGAATTCTGCTCGCGGCTCTCTTTGTTTCGACAGGAAAAGAGGGGCGCGAGGAAGGGGGCCCACTGGACCTCGATCTCGCCGGGCTCCACGCGCACGCCGTTGACCTTCAGCTGCCGGTCCAGGCGCCCGACCACCTCCAAAGCTCCCTCCCGGAAGCGGCCCAAGTCGCCGGTGCGGTAGATTCGCCCGAAGTCATCCTGACCGCATGGACTGACTCTACCAGACTTGCTGCGAGGTAAATGACAACATGAACAGGCATCAGGCATGAAGTCTGTCCGTGGGCACGAACTTCGCGTCCGTGAGTTCCGGCCGCTGCCAGTAGCGCGCAGCCAGCACGCCTCCGAAGCAGATCTCGCCAGCTTCCCCCGGAGGCATCAGCTCGAAGCTGCCCTCGGCCATAATGAACCTCAGCTCTCGTTTCGGAATGAAATCGAGCAACCCTACGGAGACAAGAAACGAGCGAGGCCTCTGCCTCGGCATTCTCTGTCAATGCAAAGGAGCACGCTGACGTGAGGCTGCGGAGTGCCGGCGGGAACGTACCGTGGGTACAGAGCCGTGTCCACACCGTGTTCGGGCACCGTGTAGACGGTGCCTGCAATGTGCGCTACTCAACCTACTCACTCCAAATGCCCCCTCAGAGCAGGCACTGCAGCAGCTGTTTGCACATGTGAGCTGTTTCTGCGAATGTAACTTAGCTCATCGAATGTTCAATCGAATGCAACCTGCAAAAGAAAGCTCTCTGCGGCCAAGCTGCATGAGCTCTCGGATGCACCGTAGAAGTTCCGCAGGGTCACCGACAGCCCACGGTGGCCTTGGCAAAGAGGGGAGGAACCGCCGGGACTGCCTCGCAAAACCTCACGGAAAATTCACTCGAAATCGTCCCGGAAAGCTGCCTGCGACACGGTTGGCCAGCTGCGACGTCAAAGGCTCACCCACGGTCGTGATGACACGGAGGCCCCTCAAAGACCCCTGCACACAGCGGGTGTGCGTGAAGGAACTGAAGAAGAGGCTCGCACCCCTCAGGTTAGACATGCTAAACCTCAGGCGCATCGAACTAAATCGGAGTACCGGCCTGCGCAACGTCCAGGAGCAGGTCCAAAACGGAAGGTGTGATCATGAGCACGTCCACGTGGAACTTCTCGATGGTTTGGGCCATGTACTGCGGGCTCTTGTGGCCATCGGCACTCGCGACGACGAGTTTGCCACCCCTGATCAAGGCTGGGAAGACCTCCCACTCCATGACTGCCCAGAAGTACGGAGACTTGAAGAGCTGGACAGAGCTCTCCGACATCCCGTGCTCCTCTGCCCAGAACCACGCGCCGTGCAGGAGATGCTGGTGGTCGTAGACGATGCCCTTGGGCTCTCCGGTGGATCCGGACGTGTAGATCAGCATGGCCACGTCGCCCGTGTCGCCGCTGCCAGCGCCGCTCTGTACAGCTGGTCGCTGGGCTTCGGTGACGGTGAAGTTTCCGAAGGAGGAGATCGCCACCCAGTGGAGCCCGAGATCTGCGGCAAGTTGCTTGCACTCCTTCAGGCGGCAACTCCCTACTACAAGTAACAGGGAAATCAAATCGTCCGCCGAACGACGAGGCTGCATGAAGGCACGCGCCTGGGAGTTGGCGTCGGAGATCAACACCTTGGCGCGGCTGTCCTCCAGAACCAGCCTTTTCCTGGCCTGGCGCGATCTCTCAGCATGCACTCATGCCTAACTACCTAGTTACCTATCTAATCCTATCTACCCAGCTTTCTCGCGCTCACGCCTCTGGCCCCGTGTCGTCCATGGGCAGGTAGCCGGCACCTGCCAGCAAGGCGCCGAGGATCGACACCACCTGCGCGCTGCTTCGCGGCAAAGATAAAGCCACGATCTCGCCATTCGCGCCTCGCAGGGCTGACTCTCATGCCGCAAACTGGCACCTTGCTGACTATCAGGGGCGGACCTAGCCGTTCGAGCACGACGGCCAACTGCCGGACGGCTTCTGCCAGCTCCTCAAGATCCCAGCGGGCACGCTGATTCTGCCGGAGGCTCTCGCGGGCGAAACGGCTGGAGCGAGAAGCGATACGGACAGGCGGAGGAAACCCAGGCATCTGCACACACCGAACAACCGAACAACCCGACTCCTGGTAGGTGACCACAGTCTTTGCCTCGTGGGGCAACACCAGGGCCGTCGCCGTCGGTGTCAGCTTCGCCTGCTCCAGGAACAGCTCGTGGACCTGGACATTCGCAAACAATCTTCGCAACTTGAGTCGGTGACCCGAAAGAAAGACCCGAAAGAAAACACGCGCTGCTTTTGTCGAGCCTTGCGTTCTGGGAAGGGCGGCATCTCGCCAAAGGCTTCCGACATCTTCGACACATCCCCGAATCCATTGCTCTGCCGCTTCACTGGCGAACGCGCTCGTCTGCGGCAGCTGCAGCGGCTGCGAAGCCGCGTGTAGAGGAACACCGCCAGCACCACGCATGACCAGAAGCCCGTGTAGAGTGCGAAGAACAGGACCTTACCCTGAAGATCCCATGCTTCGCTCGGGTCGCGAAAGTCGCTTGGGAACGGCCAACCTTCCATGGCTCCAGAGTTCATAGTGGCTCTATCGCCACACACAAAATCCTCCCCAATTTCCTAGCCCTGCAAGCTGAAATGCGCACCGAAACGACATCGCTGGAAATGTTCAATGTTCCGAAGACCGACGGGTGCCTGCGTGCATGAGCATGACGTGCGTTCCGACTGCGTTGCGTCTTTTTCTGCTTCGCCAGATCCTGCAGTCCATGACAGGCTTCGCTGGCTCAAGGCAGCTTTACAAGTACCAAGTCTAAATTCAAAATGCGTGTGCTAACTTTCCACGGGATTTCCTCGACTCCTCCAGAGTCCTTGGGCTGTACAGGGCATCAAAATTGCTTGGACGAGTCTCCCTTAGAGAGAACACGGTCCTGGCCAGAAGTAAGGTTGTCGTGCATTTGGCGTGCGGCACGCGCAACGACACGCTGCCTAGACTCTCAGAACAGGTCTGAGGGGTCTGGCCTGTACACGTTCTGTACATGGATACGAGGCGGCATTCAGAAGCAGGTCATGGGAATGCCTGGATGGGTCTCCCTTGCTAGGAGAACCGAATCCTGGCCAGAAGTGCGAGGTTCGCGTCCTGATCTTAGGACTTCCTGCAGAGCCGCCGCCTCACGAAACTTGCAAGGAACTGCGGGGCGATGAGAATGTAGTGCCCGACCGGACCCACGGTGGACATGAACGCTAGGCACAGGACGACGATGGCCCAAGGCAGGAGGAGACCTGTCAGATCCCAGCTCAGCATGGGGATCATCATCTGGATGACTTCCGTCATGCGATCTCTGAAGAGGAAGTGGATCACGTAGCAGCCGAGTGTGCTGTTGCCCCAGAAGCTGGCCTTCCGGGTCAGCAAAGCTCCGGCTAGGACTCTTGCTTCAGACTGAAAATGGCCTGAAGCCCACCCAAAGCCGGACAGAAATCAAGACGGGGCAAAGAAACGCAGCACTCGAGCCCACTCTGCTCTCCCAAAGCTAGCCTTGACGGGCCAGTACACCGTGCCGAGCGCGAAGAGCGCCGGCTGAAGAGTGGTGACCGCCACCTCCAAGATCGGCGTCAGCCAGAAGCCCTTCTCGCCGCTCTCCAGGAGCTGGTTGGGGTAGTGGAAGAGAGCCATCAGCAGACCTCCACAACTGACAAGCTTCGGGATCGCTGCTTGATTCCTACGACATATTTTCTCTGCTCCGACACGTCACTAACACTACTCAAGCCCACCAACAGGGTGGAGCGTCTTCATGCATGCTCTCACCACAACTGCAGTCACAAGCGCCAAAAGCCCTACTATCATATCCCCACAAATCATATGGAGCTTGCATGCCGAGAGGCCAAGCAGCATGCTGGAGGCAGTGGCAGATGCCGACCACACAGGCCCGCTTGGCAGCCTCCCAGTGAAAAACTTCACGATGCTTCGAAGGTAGTGAAAGCAGAACCTCAATTTGCAGTCTTCATCGCTCGTGTGGAATTCCTTGTGACTGGTGTGGCTCAAGTGCAGAACAGCGACACATAGAAGGCACCATAACACGCGACCCAGCGAATCCATGCAAAGCAGCCGCCCAGCAGCCAGTACACAGCAAAGCTGGGCACTCCTGCTTGGCACGCATTGCCGGCATTCACTGGACCAAAGAAGCTGCCAAGCGCAGCCACCAGCACCTGCACGACATTCTGCAACGTGTGATGTAGCTCTGTTAGCGGCCTAGCCCCCCCCTCAACTTTCACGTCTTCAAAGCATCGTGGAGAACCTGCCTGGAGGAATGGCGGCAGGCAAAGGCTGTCGCAGATCACGAGGTAGAGCTTGGCGCACAAGATCATCTGAAGATACCACCGATGTCCCGCTGTGGCATCAGAGTTTTGCATGTAGACCTGGTCCCATCCGTTGGTGCCCTGTGTGACGTTGAAGGTCTGCCAGGTCCTGTTTCAGAAGCACTCGAAAGCACGGCGGGAGGCGTAAATGAATAAACACGTAGCGCCCGGGGTCCTGTCCGGATACGCCCAACCTCCCGTGATGCCCCGAAAGATCTGCGGAAGCGGCATGGCCATGAAAAGGTACACAGCGAACACGAAGAGGTCCGGCCAGCCCAGTCGCGCCCGCTTGCGTGCCTCGCCGCCCTGGGGCCGTGAGTCCTGGTAGGCGCCCAGCATGATGAAGCCAAAGAGGTCCTGCGCTCTGCAGTCCCTCACTCATCTCACTCGCACTTCAAGCACAACATGGAAAAGAAACGACACCGCAAGAGCGCTTCCCGCTCGCCTGGTCGTTGCCGAGGGAGCGCACGAGAGCCTCCGCCCACGGGGCGACGTTCCAGGAGGCCAAGGCCGTGCAGAAGGGCAGCGACCGCATCCCAGTGGGGTCCTGCCGTTGTGTCTTCGTGCATACGGACGATCACGCACGCGACGTGTGCAGGCTTACCAGTACATAGTATATTCAGATGCAGATGACGTGTCGACGTGTCGTGCTGCTGCTGGCCTTGGGGTCCGTGCTCATGGCGCACCAGGCATAGTGATCCGTGAGGACGCCCAACATCCAGAAGGCGTAGCAGCGGTGGATCACCGCGTTCTCGAGGATGGCCGCTCGGGACATGGACTTCATCTGCCCAAGCGAGTCCATGACGGTCTCCTGTGCCTGGGAGGCTTCCTTGTCGGCCATCTCCTTCAAGGACTTGTAGTTCACCTTGCCGTTTGGAAGCACCGGCAAACCTGGCCGAAGCTTTGTTGCATCGTGTCGCTTTTGTCTGCAAAGTACTAAGACTCCGAGCATGGGTTCCGAGCCTGCGTCGAGGACGACGATGAGCTTGGGAAGGTACGCGGGCATGAGCTCCTTGCGGCAGTGCTCCATGAGCTCGTGCGCGCGGATCGTCGCCTGGCTAAAGCGGCTTAGCTTGGAGCTGCAAAGGCACACACTCCGAGAGCAGCTAGTCCGGCCTCCTTCCGCGGCTCCACGAAGGCCACGAGTTGCGGCGGATCTGCACAGCACACGGCCGCCTTCGCGACGGGCAGCAGGCAGCCCATCTCAGCGTCCTCACAGACATCTCACGAGGACACCTCACCTTCCGGTCAAAAAGCCTTGCATGCAGTTAGCCGCTCCTCCTGCTGCGTCTCCTGTGGCTCAAACTTCATCAGCACGGCCTCTCTGCCAACCCGCCAGATACGCCAAGCTCGGCTCTAGACTATCTACGTGTATGTCTGAATTCTGCTCGCGGCTCTAGGGAAAGGGGCGCGAGGAAGGGGGCCAACTGGGCCTCGATCTCGCCGGGCTCCACGCGCACCCCGTTGACCTTCAGCTGCCGGTCCAGGCGCCCGACCACCTCCAAAGCTCCCTCCCGGAAGCGGCCCAAGTCGCCGGTGCGGTAGATTCGCCCGAAGTCCTCCTGACCGCATGGACTGACTCTACCAGACTTGCTGCGAGGTAAATGACAACATGAACAGGCATCAGGCATGAAGTCTGTCCGTGGGCACGAACTTCGCGTCCGTGAGTTCCGGCCGCTGCCAGTAGCGCGCAGCCAGCACGCCTCCGAAGCAGATCTCGCCAGCTTCCCCCGGAGGCATCAGCTCGAAGCTGCCCTCGGCCAGAATGAACCTCAGCTCTCGTTTCGGAATGAAATCGAGCAACCCTACGGAGACAAGAAACGAGCGAGGCCTCTGCCTCTGCATTCTCTGTCAATGCAAAGGAGCACGCTGACGTGAGGCTGCGGAGTGCCGGCGGGAACGTACCGTGGGTACAGAGCCGTGTCCACACCGTGTTCGGGCACCGTGTAGACGGTGCCTGCAATGTGCGCTACTCAACCTACTCACTCCAAATGCCCCCTCAGAGCAGGCACTGCAGCAGCTGTTTGCACATGTGAGCTGTTTCTGCGAATGTAACTTAGCTCATCGAATGTTCAATCGAATGCAACCTGCAAAAGAAAGCTCTCTGCGGTCAAGCTGCATGAGCTCTCGGATGCACCGTAGAAGTTCCGCAGGGTCACCGACAGCCCACGGTGGCCTTGGCAAAGAGGGGAGGAACCGCCGGGACTGCCTCGCAAAACCTCACGGAAAATTCACTCGAAATCGTCCCGGCAAGCTGCTTGCGACACGGTTGGCCAGCTGCGAAGTCAAAGGCTCACCCACGGTCGTGATGACACGAAGGCCCCTCAAAGACCCCTGCACACAGAGGGTGTGCGTGAAGGAACTGAAGAAAAGGCTCGCACCCCTCAGGTTGGACATGCTAAACCTCCAGCGCATCGAACTAAATCTGAGTACCGGCCTGCGCAACGTCCAGGAGCAGGTCCAAAACGGAAGGTGTGATCATGAGCACGTCCACATGGAACTTCTCGATTGTCTGGGCCATGTACTGCGGGCTCTTGTGGCCATCGGCACTCGCGACGACGAGTTTGCCACCCCTGATCAAGGCTGGGAAGACCTCCCACTCCATGACTGCCCAGAAGTACGGAGACTTGAAGAGCTGGACAGAGCTCTCCGACATCCCGTGCTCCTCTGCCCAGAACCACGCGCCGTGCAGGAGATGCTGGTGGTCGTAGACGATGCCCTTGGGCTCTCCGGTGGATCCGGACGTGTAGATCAGCATGGCCACGTCGCCCGTGTCGCCGCTGCCAGCGCCGCTCTGTACAGCTGGTCGCTGGGCTTCGGTGACGGTGAAGTTTCCGAAGGAGGAGATCGCCACCCAGTGGAGCCCGAGATCTGCGGCAAGTTGCTTGCACTCCTTCAGGCGGCAACTCCCTACTACAAGTAACAGGGAAATCAAATCGTCCGCCGAACGACGAGGCTGCATGAAGGCACGCGCCTGGGAGTTGGCGTCGGAGATCAACACCTTGGCGCGGCTGTCCTCCAGAACCAGCCTTTTCCTGGCCTGGCGCGATCTCTCAGCATGCACTCATGCCTAACTACCTAGTTACCTATCTAATCCTATCTACCCAGCTTTCTCGCGCTCACGCCTCTGGCCCCGTGTCGTCCATGGGCAGGTAGCCGGCACCTGCCAGCAAGGCGCCGAGGATCGACACCACCTGCGCGCTGCTTCGCGGCAAAGATAAAGCCAC